GTGTGCAAAAGAGGAAATTATATATTAAAGAAAGCACATGATTGTATAGTAGTACACACTCTATTTCTTCTTTTCCTCCATGCTCTATAAATTTCTTTTTTATCATTTTAAAGTTTTGTCAAATAAAGTAAGCTAATTGCTGGATTCTAGAAGCCACTTTTGTGTAAAGAGGTGGAAAAAGGGAACTTTTGAGATAGGACACACAGAAGATAATAAGGATATATTTTCAATGGGCTATTTCTCCAAAAATTTGAATTTGTTTTACATATTAGAAACGAAGCAGATAGTAATGTCAGTTTGAAAAGCTAGGAGTATATTGAAAAGTGTTCATCTATAAATACTCATATGCAAAACAAGAATAGTCTTGATTTGGTTAAGAGGGACTTTTATTTGAATACTCATCATGAATAAAATATTGACATGATTCTAAAAGAAATGAAGTTTATCTTTAGTAGGTGAGCAATATTTATGAGCAATATATATGTTATAAATGTAAGTTCATCAGAATGATGTTTCCATTGGATTATTTGTCGTAGCCATAAGATAGTTTTGTTGTGGGAAAGTGAAATCAAAACATAGTAGTGGAATTGTGATAATTCAAACTTACTATAACTTAGCAAAAACTAGAAGGACTGAAGAAATATTGTCCACAAAAAGACAACAAAGCATTCATGCCCAACCTTAGAAATTTTCTGTTTGAATAACAACAACAATATGGAAAGCATATAAAATATGTCAATGACATCATGACCACAGCGAGATGCAGAGTGGGATGTAATGTTATATAACCTGTTACAGATTTGAATTAGATCTCAGTAACACTTTTCATCATTTAAAATGTATTCTCTTGGAAATAGCCAGGACACTGGCATCTAGTATGGTATTTTTTTTTTAATTTAATATAGTGAATAGAGCTGTACCTTATATTAGCCCATGTAAATAGCAAACTCAAATATACTTCATCTTTCCATTTAAATGTCTACCTTATCTTCCCACAGGTGCTTAATATTCTTTTCTTTCAACACAGAACAGTTTTAAGAGTTAAAAAATATAATTCTACTTCTGGCATAGCAGAGTAAGCTAATAAGCCATTTTCCTACAGAAAACAAATATAAATCCTGGACAAAATATAAACAAACACAAATTTAGATGTGTGTATTATAATCCCTGAAACAGCCAATAAAAACATAAAGAGAGCTATCCAAAGGCCAACAGATAAAATAAAATTGGATATTAAAAATACTGAAGGGAAGAAAACAAGAGCAGAAAACAAAAACCAAAAGACAATCAGAAAAATAAAATGATAATAAAATGGTAGATATAAATTCAAGTTACACTGAATGTGAATGAACTACAGGCACTGTGAAAAGTCTGGGTTTGAGTTAAAAAAGACCCAAACCCAAACTTGACCCCAATTATTGTCTAAAACAATATCATTTGAAAGACAACTATATTGTTGATAAAAGTAAATGAATGGAAAAGTATATACCATGCATACATGAATCAAAACAAAGCTGGAGTGGTGTTATCGATACCAGAAAATGTAGATTTCAGAACAAGGAAATACCAGAGTTAAAATGGGAGATTATGATAAAAGAGGTAATTCAACAAGAAGTCATAACAATCCTAAGTGTGTACGAACCTAAAAAAAAAAAAGGGTCTAAAACTAATGGAGCTTATATGTATAAGTGAATAAAACAAAAAAACAAAAACAGATCCAGAAATATATATGGAGATGTTAACTTCTACTCAGTAATAGAGAAAGCAATCAGTAAGAATATTGAAGATCCAAACAACACGATCAATTAACTTGAATGAACTGACATTTATAGAATATTCTGTGTTCAAATGGACATGGAACAGTTACTAAAATATATCACATCCTGAGACATAAAACAAAATTTAACCAATTTCTTATCATAAGGGAATTAAACTTGAGATCAGTATATGAAAAATTCCTGGAAAACACCCAAATATTTGGAAACTAAACTGCATAGCTTTAAATATCTGATGAGTAAAAGAAGAAGTCTTTAGAAAACATTTAGAACTGAATGTAAAAGAAAATGTAGCATATTAAAACTTGTGGAATTTATCTAAAGCAAGCTTACAGGGAAATTTATACCAATATATGCTTACTCTGAAAAAGAATAAAGTTCCTGAAGCACTAATCTAAGCTTCCACCTTAAGCTTGAAAAAAGAAAGAGCAAATAAAACTAAAGCAAGAAGAATAAAGGAAATAGTAGCAGAAGGTAGTAATAGCAGAAGAAGGAAGACAGTAGGAGAAATTCATGAAATTGAAAAGAGAAAATTAATGACACTGAAGTACAGCATTCTTTGAAAAGATTTAGATAGGCTAACCAAGAAAAAAGAAAGATGCAAATTTTTGATATCCTGAATGAAACATCGGACATTGCCAAAGACCCTACGGATATTAATGGGTACTATTTCTTTGAGTTACAGAAAGTGATTCACCAAAGAAGAATATTTAAATTTAAAAAATATATAACATTTTAAATTAACAAAGTTTAAATTAGAAAGAAATTAAATAAAAAAGATTTAAAATCTTCAAAAAAAGGCCCACATAGTTTTATTAGCAAATTCTATCAAACATTTAGGTAAGAAGTAACAGTTTCCCCAATCTTCTCTAGAAAATAAAAATATGAGCAACATTTCACACCAGAGATACCAAAAAACAAACACATTATTAGAAAAGAAATCTACAAACCTGTATTCCTCAGGAACTCAGTCATGAAAAGACTCAACAAAATATTAGCTAATTTAATCCAGCAGCATACAAGAAAGGATTTTGACCAAGTAGAGCTTATCCAGGAACGCAAGGCTTGTGCAACATTTGATAATCATTAATTATTAAAATTCACCATATTAATTGACTAAAGAGAAAAACCACATAATCATTTCATAGGTGCAGAAAAGCACGGAACGAAGTTCAACATTCGTTCCTTATAAAAATTCTCAGAAAATTAGGGAGTAGAAAGGAACGTCCTTAACTTAATAGAGGGCATTTAAAAAAACTTAAGCTAACATCATAGTTAAAGATTGACTGCTTTCTCCTAAAACTGGGAGCACAGCATAAATATTGCTTCTCACCACTCCTGTTTACATTCCCAAATATAGTAAGGCAAGAAAAAGAAAGAAAAAGCATGTAGTTTGGAAAGGGAGAAAACATATTACGTGATTGTCTTTAAAAAAAATTTCATGTAATCTACAAGTACATAAAAACTCCTAGATGGGCCGGCCGAGTGGCACATTGGTTAGGAGTTGGCTTGGGACACCAGCTCTGAACAGCAGGGCTCTGGTTCAGATCCCACATGCGGGCCAATGATGCTGCGCCCTCTACAGCTAAGATCGTGAACAACAGCTCAGCACGGAACTGGACTGCCGTCAGTCACCGGGCAATGCTGTAGGCTGCAATGGGGCTGGCCAGCAGCTGGGATAAGCTTTCCTGAGCTGCCATAAGCTGCCGTGAGCGGCCGTCCAGTGGCCAGCGAGCGACTGCCTCATCCCGGAAGAGCGCAATGATAATACCAACATGGGCCAGTGAAGCGACGTCCTCCACAACTAGACTGAAGAACAAAAGGACAGCAACTTGTCTGTTCCCCTTCCCCAATTCCCCAACGCTGTGCCCCTCCCCTAATTTCCCAATAAAACCTTTAAAAAAACCCCACAAAACTCCTAGAACTGGCAGAATATACAGTCAACATAATAATTGTCAATTGTTTATCTCTATATACCAGCAAGGAAAAAATTAATAATTGAAATAAAATAAAGAGTACCATTTATAATAGCTATAAGAAAATATATTAATAATTAAAATATAATTATACATATATTTATAATTTATAAGAAGTAAATGAAGTCAAAGAAGACATATCAAAAAATACAAAGTATTTGTAAATCGGAAGATTGAATATTGTTAAGATGTCCATTATTCCCAAATTGATTTATAGACAACACACTCCCCCACAAAATCTTAGGAGTTTTTCTTTGGGGGGGGTAGCTATCAAAAAGTTGATTCTGTGTTTAAAAAGGGAAAGGAATTGGAATAGCCAGAATAATGTTGAAAAAGGTCAGAAAAGGAGGACTCACTTTACTTGTTTCAAAATTTCCTATGAAGTTACAGTAATCAAGACAGTGTAGTATTAAGGAATGTTTAACACAGAAATTGATGAAATTACTTCTAGAAAAAGACCTATGCAAATATAGCGAGTTGATCTGTGGCAAGTTGACAATGGATAACGAATAAAGGGTAAAGAATTCAATAGATAAAGAATAGTCTTCAAGAAATCTTGCTGGAACAATTAGACATCATTTGTGAAAAAGTTAATTTGATACCTCATATTTATATAAAAATTAACTCAAAATGGATGATAGACCTAAATATAAAATATAAAACTATAGAATTTTGATAAGAAAACTGATCATTTTTATGACTTTTGATTAGGCAAAAAGAATTCTTAGCTGTGACATCTCATCAAAATTAAAAACTCTATGAAAGATGTAAGCATTTCAATAAATATTATGCCAGGGTAAAAACAAGTTTTAAACTGGTAAATTAAGTAGGTCATTAATTGTATTAGTAGATAAATTGGAACTTAAAATTCAGGTTTTGAAAATGGCAAAAAGTGGGAGTGGGTTCCATGTAAATAAGTAATTTTCACATTCTTTGTTATCAAATTTGCTATTTTAAAATGCTTGTGAATTCTCTGTAAATTTAGTCATATAAAACTTTACTAATCATATGGAAACATCACAAAACCTTTGCATCCAGTATTCTCACTATTCTTGTATACTGATATGGCCTTAAGTTTCACATAGGAGAATGGTACAGTGTTGTAACTTTTTTATCGTGGGAACTTTCTTATTATCTTTGGTGATTTTTTTCCCTTTGATACTGTTTTAAAGCATGATGAGTACTCTGTGAAAATATTTCATCCACATGCATAATTGTTTCTTTTCCCCCTTTTTATGGTTTCCTGCAGGAATGCTTCTAGTCACAACAGACACCCTTGGCCATGACTTTCACGTCTTCCAAATTCTGACTCATCCTTGGTCCTCGTCACAAAGTGCTGTCCACCATCTGTATACCCTTCACAGGGGAGAAACTGAAGCCAAAGTAAGTTGTATATTTTTCAGAAGGTGTTTTCTTTGTGTAATATAACATCTAATCTAGCTGGTTATTTATATCACATTGGAGCTTAATGATAGTGAGAAAATAGTGTTCTTGGTATAAAGTGGGCCAGATAATTAAAAAAAAAAATTTACCCCTATTTTAACCCAGTAAATACATAAGTGTTAGGTGAACAACCCAATGAATAGTAAGACAAACTTCCATTTAACTTTCATGAATTTCCATGAAAAATATCTATAATAGAATGAAACATCTTAAATATGTAGAAGCCCATGATGGGTTTATAGTGATACTTAGAAAGGAAGCATTGGGCGTCACTGTAAGGCTGCTTGTTTACTAACCATTCTGAAAATTGATAATTAAGGGGAAAGTATCCAG